TAGCATTTAAAAAGAACAAAAAATTCCGGCTACTATTTACACAGACTGCATTCCGACTTTTTTTCTAAAATAGTTTCTTTTTCATTAAATTAAAAAAATAAAACCACCTTTACACCATTTGGTAGCATTTAAAAAAAAAAAAAATTCCGGCTACTATTTACACAGACTGCATATTCTTCCTTTTTTCCCAAAAATACTTCCTTTTTCATTAAATTATTATAAATTTTCTTTTTTTACAATTGTTTCTGTTAAATACACTTTTTTGAAATCACTCACATTTTATTGTATTGTTATTACTGATGCTATATGAAGGCGAAAAGCACTGCTTTTTCTAAATCACTCTCTCTCTCTCTCTATATATATATATATGATGAAGAATTGCGAAGGATACCGCAATAGCAAAAAGTTGATAATTAAGAATTTAAAAAGTTATATATATATTTTTTAGTTAAAATGCAACAACAGCTTCCAAACGCTCGCTTACACCGACTGTACGGAGTATACCTACGATAAGATAATATTCAACGAACTGTAGCGATAATTGACAAACGCTTTGCAATTTATAGAAGTTTTATTTTCTACATTCAAATACATACACAATAAGTGGTTTTTTTTTTTTAATTTCAATCTTTTCGTTAATCAGTTTCACGATTCTAATTGAAAACTATATGCTGAGTGTATTGTGAGTAATGTCGCGAATTTTTTTTTTTTTGTTGCGTATGTTTTCGTTAGCCTGAGCTTCGATGCGAATGTATCTGAGATTAAAGAGTTTATTTTTTTTTTATTTTTATGAATATAATAATGTTTGTGCGTATGTGTGTGTGTGTGTGCGTGCGTATGTGTGAGTTTTTGGCTAAATCGCCGCAATGCATAAACAATGATAAAGTTGTTGTTGTTAAATTGCAAACACGTACACACGAGCTTACACATTGAAGCCGTCATCCATGATTTTTTTTTTATGAATTAAATACACGCGTAGAGCGTTTGTTTTTGTTTTTCTCGTTAATATACGAATTTTTTTAATTTTCTTAATATTATTTTTTATTCGTATTTATTCATAATTTTTTTTTGCTACTAAACATATATTATTCTATCATTGTATTGTATTCTAAATGCATTTGTTTTCTTCTTTTATAAATAAATTATTCTCAGAAATTTCAATTTCATTTTAAGCTACATGTAAGGTGTACATCCCTTTAGAGAGCGTATCACGTTGTTTAAGGCGTTTTAAATCTTGCACGCAATCGATTCCTTGCAATTAATTTGCATTTTTCTACTTAGTATATTAAATTTGTTTCATTTTTAAAACAGAAAAAAGTGTTCAATAAATTAGAGCATATGTAGTTTCGCTTACGTTATCTAGGATGACCTTTAAAAAAACTCATTATTCCTTTTAATCCATGTTAATTATAGCATGCGATTAATCCCTTGCAATTATTTTGCATTTCTCTAACCGCCAGATATCCCATGTGAGTGAAATATACACAAATGTGTCATCGAGTAGAATTTTTACAGTAAGATCTCATGCTACATATTGGTTTATATTCGTTCCAAAATTGTATTGCTATACATGGACGGATGTAACACCCGGAAGAAGAGCTTCAGATAGATTCATCTTTTATTATACCGATCGATTCAGGATTATTTTTTGAATCAATCCACTTTTTCTCTGTCTGTCTGTCTGTGCGTCTCTCTGCGTAAATTTCTGTTCAAATTACATGTCGCAATTTTTGAGATATTTCGATGGAATTTGGTGCGCTGACGTTCTTTGACCCCTGGACAAACGCTATTGAAAATGGTCCGCATCGGTCCACTTTTTTGATCCTGCCCCATATAACGGCCTATCTTGAAAAGTCATTATATGGAAAAAATATTTGCGACTTTCAAAATTTCTCGACAAAATTTCCTAGGTAATAGTATTGCGGTGTTCTAAATTGGTGTGGTGGTTTCACCGAATGGAGCAATTTTCTAGATAAGGTAGATTTCTTTGTCAATTTACACCGTGATATATTGAAAATTCTTACCTTGTAAGGGTTCAGTTTCCGTAGGAACGGTTATATGAGAGGGGGTTCAAATAATTGCCCCAGCCAGTCCGAAGCTTTCGTACCAATTAAGACTGCCGCATCAGATGTTCTTTGTATATTCTATGTCAGATCAGGAATTTCGTAACCCAAAAATAAAAGACCATGATCTAATGGATCAAAATACATTCATATTTCAGAATGTTCTTATATATAATAATAATGATTACAATTCGTTTTTTCTTCCGTAAGAAAAATGCTTTCTATATTAAAATAGTTCAAGTTTGTCGAAATGATAATCTGCTTAATAAATCGAATGTTCCGACATATTGTCGGACTATAGTTCAAAACGATTAGTATTTCTTTTTTTTCTTTTTTTGGTTAGATCAGTCACTGAAGGGAGGTTAACTCTAGGTTGTCAAAGAGAAAGAAGTGGGAAATGAGGAATACACAGGTCAATTGCGATTAAAGCAAAGTCTATCGCACAGAGACCTTTTCTAATATTGCAATTCTAAGACTATTGACCGAAAGCGCTAGCATCTAAGCCAATTGGCATTATGTAAAACACTACCGCACTTGAGATTTAAACCCATGACCATTGCGTTATTAGTCGAGATCCTTTGCCTACTAAGCCACTCAGTCAGATATGTTCCAATATGATTATTTCTTTACTTAACACTAGGTTTACGCAAACCCGTGCAAATAAAGATAGGAAGTTGAAATTTCGCACAGTCATTCCTTGATAAATTTCGTTGAAGCTTCCATTTCCTATCCAAGAGGAACTGATAATCTCTAAATCTCTGGGGCTGTTAACACTATGAGCCGCGACTTCATTGTATTCCTTAAGTAGTTACTTTACTAACTGAATTAAGCGGAATGGTGTAGGATATTTAAGGGTGAGCCACGACCGATTTTACTTGTTTCAAGGTTGTTACAGCGGCTTTATAACATAAGCAATGATCGTGTTAGAAATAGAACTTCTTATGGCGCTTATGGCTTTAATAACACATAATATGTTAACATATAAGAATTGTGAAAGTTATTTATTACGTGTTAATTATGTTAATCATTATTACTTTGTATTTGATTAGAAAACCAATTTATTTTTTAACTCTTAATAAAAGGAAAGATAGAAAAAACTCCTAAGATAATACATCAAACTGTTTCTTTACACGGTGGATACGTTCCTTTTTTTAGAAAGCAGTGCAAAAAATACACATAGTAAATTTGAGGACATAATCCGTGATTGTAAAAAGTCGTGTAAGATGAAAAACTCTGTATATTTTCGCAAAAAAAAATCGTGCAAAAAAAGTAATAACGAAAATCATGTTATATATTTATTTATAAAAATGTATTATATTGGAATTAGGAATAAAACTTAATTTCGCAACTAATTATTGTTACTTGGTAACAAGGGTCCACATTTACTACGGATTAGGTCAAAAATGGGTCGCCTTTCTTCACTAGATATGTCAAATATGCTGAGCACAACATAACTCAAAAAAAAAAATTTTTGTTGGGATACGTGCAAAAAAGTGTACTTGTTTTTATCATGAACCGTTTTATTTTGAAATCGGCTAAAGAAAACCGTGTAAAAAGGAGTTGGGTTTGCCAAAATTATTAAGAATTTTTATTTTTAAATAATTACAAGCTTGGCATAGGTTTTTAAAACTTTTGCTTAAAAGTTGCTTTCCTTTTACTTTTTTCTAAACTTAATTATTATTATAATTGTTTTGCTGACAATTTTTATGTTAAAGTTGAAAATATTCTTAAGTAACAACATTTTTTTTTATAGCTTTCATAAAATCTAATTAATTTCGATAAAAGTAAAAGATTATTTTTATAAATTTTTTGCTTAAAGTTCTAGTTAAGTAACAATTATTTTTAATTTAACTTTTCATTTTATGTCTTCCTTATATAGTATTCTAGTAGTATTTTTAACAATTTTTAAAGAGACAGAGAAAAAAGTGAAAGTACACAAAAAGTGCTTTAATTTTAACATGAGCTTCTAAATATATTCCATAGAATTTTAATGCCTTTTAAGATAAGATTTAAATTTTTAATTTTTATATCCATTCCCGAAGGATGAGGGATACATTCATTTTGTCAAAACGTTTGCAACACGCAGAAGGACGCTTCACTGAACTCATAAAGTTTATATATTCTTGATCAGCAGCAAATTTTAAACCGATGTCCATTTATTCGTCTGTCTGTCTGTCTGCCTGTCCTTGTGTTATCAGTGATGAACACTCTCTTGATCGGAAAAATGAAGCTATTGACTTGAAAATTGGTTATAAGGTGTGTATTCCATTGATCAACCATCAGTTCTAAACCAAGCCATGTCTGTCCGTCCATATGGTCTTTGCGTGGTAGTTTTCTGGCCGCAAAATTGAAGATATCGACTTAGTAGGCATATTGAAAGTTCTTGGTATTGAAAATGGGATAAATTGGTCAAAGTCCATTCCTCCGATAAAGCGTAAACTGAATGCACGTCCGTGTGCCTAAACAAAAATGCAAATTATTAATCATAAATCATTTTTCCTTTTTACTTTATAACGGACTCTATGACTCATGTACAAAAATGAAAAAAAATCGACCACGCCCACAAAGTGTTATAAATAACGTAACAAGGCGAAAATCTTGAAAATTACTCTGCACAATCCTCACGTGACAAGCAAAATGCCGCCAATCTACGTTAAACATGGCGGGCGCAATAAATTGGATCTTTTTATCTTCCCTTTAGCTACATAGTTAAGAATCGCGACTACCAGCTCAACGTTCTCTTTGTCAAATCTCAAATGCGGTAAAATTTACTTTGGCCGTAGCTTTAATGAGCGCTCAATCGGTAAAAGCGTAACACATACGCATTAAGCATAAAACTTCTAAGCTACGCCTACTACCTGCCTATGTCTTTGTCTTTCCTCACTTCTTTCTGATCATGACGGTGTTACACTTACGTAAACGCCGTCCTTTGAGTGAGAGAAAAATAAAAAATAATTATCGAAATTAATCGAATAAATGCCTGAAAGATGGCGAGTAGCCCAACAATGGCTTCCAGAGTAGAATACAAAAAGCGAAGATTTATCGTTTCTTACTAAATATGACGGGCGCTACCGCAAAGTGGCGAGTTAAAGTTTTCCTAACTTTCCCCTCAATATCGGTTTCAAGGAAAAGGTTTTGAAGAGTAACATAACATATGACACGCCATGTATGCTGATTCTAGTTTACATGTATTGAACTTGGAAACTAAAATGCGATCGTAATAGGGTAAAAATTTAAATATTGTTTACCTATATTGGTCTATACCGCGCACCCACCTTCGGTACACGGATATATTAAGCTTGTGACGATGTATAGAACAGCGAGAAGACGTGGAAGAAGGCCCACCCATTGTAAAACCGATAGATTTAAGCTGGTTAGTCTGTCTGTTTGTCCATTTAGTCTTCTTGTGCGTTATTCAAGAACGAAAACTATTGGAAATGGTTTGGAG